CTATTTCAGGGTCCTCATTACCAATGTGGATATTTATACCACACCATGTTTGTATACTTTCTGCTTGCTTTCTGGTTTTGGTTTACATCCTGATTATTTCTTCCAGCCTCACTTGTTCTTGGCATTCTTTTTGTCTGAACATCCTTAAGAGAAAGATGTTGAAAAAAGGAAAAAAAAAAGAGGAAAAAATATTAGGATTAGGATGAAAATTAATTGAGTTCAGGGGCCATCTTGTTCCTAGCTGTTTATAAACATCTAGAATAAAGCTTAGTGTGGTAGGCAGAATAATGGGCCTTAGGTATATTCTTATTTTAAACATTGGAACCTATGGAACTATGAACGTGTTATGCTATATGGCAATGGGACTTTATAGATGTGGTTAAATATCTTGAGATGGGAAAATTACCCTGGATTTTCCAAGTGAACCCTCAATGTAATCACAAGTATTCTCATAAGAATAATGCAGAGGAGATTTGACTATAGTAAAGGATTAGGCGATGTGACTAAGAAGCTGAGATGGGAGTGTTAGGACCAGGAGCCAAAGAAGGGCATTAGGCTCTACAAGTGGAAGATGTAAAGAACAGACTCTTCCCTGAAGACTCTAGAAGGAACCACTCCTTATGACACCTTGATTTTTGCCCCATTAGATAATTTTGGATTTCTGTCCTGAAGAACTGAAAGAGAATAAATTTTTGTTTTTCAAGCCACTGCATTTTTGTTAATTTGTTACAGTTGCAGCAAGAAACTAACACAGATTTTGGTACCTATAAGTAGATTGTTGCTGTATCTAAAATATGGAAGTGACTTTGAAATTGGGAATTGAATAGAACGTGCAAGAATTATGGAGAACATGATAGAAAAAGCCTAGATTTCCTCAAGCAGATTGTTAGAGATATGGCATTAAAATATTAGTAAAATGTTAATAAAATATGCTGGCAAGGGCTCATAAGAAATGAGGAACATCTTACTAGAAACTGAAGGAAAGAGGAACTTTGTTAATAGGGGCATAAAGCTTAGCTGAATTGTGTCCTATATTAGGTAGAAAGCAGGACTTGAAAGCAACGAACTTGGGTATTTAGCTGAGCATAGTTTCAAGAAAGTGTTGAAAGTGCAGCCTGGTTTTCAATTGCTACTAATAGTGAAATGTGAGAGGAAGAGATAAATAGAGGGAAGAATGGTTATGCAAATGGAAACTAAGATTTGATGATTTAGGTAATTCCTAGCCTGTCTGGATTGCCAAAGGTGCTAAAATTAGAAGATTCATTGTCAGGAATTTGTGCTCTGGAGAGAAGACTGAGAATGTATTTGGACAAACTTTTGCTAGTGCTAAATGGATTAGGTACATGACTCATTGATCCCCTCAGCGTTTTAGCAGAAGTCAGGAGTAGAGATTAGATTATCCAGGAAAGATCTGTGGAGGAGCTTCTTGTGTAATAGAGTGAATCCTTGAGACATACACAGGAGACCCACAAAGTTGTTGAGATTGTTTAATCAGCAAAAATACGGCTAGCCTGGACTAAAAAGGTCACAGACAACAAAATGAGAGAAAGTTCTCAGACTACCAAAACTCTACAACCATGAAACAAACTGATAAAGCTGATAATATTACTGAGCTGAAAATAGGTACTACCCTTTAAGAAAAAAGGAAAGATGACTCCAAAGGAGTCAAAGGAAACCTTGAGCCACAAATTATTTCCAGGCTTGAAACCTATTGGAGTTTGCCTGGATGGATTTTGTTGTTGTTGTTAACTTCATTTTATTATTTATTTTTCATTTTTATTCAGTTTTTATTCCAGTGTAGTTAACATACAATGTTGGTTTCAGGTGTATAATACAGTAATTTAACAATTCCATATATTACTCAGTAATTTAACAATTCCATATATATTACATATATATTACTCAGTATTCTTAATTCCCCTCTCCTATTTCACTCAACCCCACTCATTCCCCCTATGGTAATTATCAGTTTGTTCTCTATAGTTAAGAGTCTATTTATTGATCTCTCTCATTTTCTTTTCTTTTGCTCATTTGTTTCTTAAGTTCCACACATCAGTAAAATAATATGATATTTGTCTTGCTCTGACTTATTTTGTTTAGCATAATTCTCTTTACCTCCATTCATGTTGTTGCAAATAGCAAATTGTCATTCTTTTTTATGGCTGAGTGATATTCCATTGTGTGTATATATACCACCTCTTTATTAATTTCTCTGTGGATGAACACTTGGGCTGCTTCCATAATTTGGCTATTGTAAATAATGCTGCAGTAAACATAAGGGGGCATATGTCCTTTTGAATGAGTATTTTTGTATTCTTTGCATATATACCCAAGGGTGCAATTACTGATTGAAGGGTAGTTCTATTTTTAGTTTTTGGAGGAAAACTCCACACTGTTTTCCATACTGACTGTACCAGTTTGCAATCCCACCAACAGTGCACTAGAGTTCCTTTTTTTTCTGTATTATTGCTAACACTTCTTGGTTTGCCTGTTTTAGATTTTAGCCATTCTGACAGATGTTAGGTAATATTTCATTGTGGCTTTGATTTGCATTTCCCTAAAGATGAGTGATGTTAAACATCTTTTTGTGTGTCTATTGGCCATCTGTGTGTCTTTTTGGATAAAAGTGTATTCATGTCTTTTACCCATTTTTTTAATAGGATTGTTTTTTGGGTATTGGGTTGTATAAGTTCTTTATTTATTTAGGATACTATCCCTTTATTGGATTTATCATTTGCAAATACCTTCTCCCATTCAGTCGGTTGTCTTTTAGTTTTGTTGATTGTTTCCTTTGCTGTGCAGAAGCTTTTTATTTTGATGTAGTTTCAATAGTTTATTTTTGCTGTTGTTTCCCCTGCCTTAGGTGACATGTATAGAGGAATGTTGCTATCTCTGATGCCAGAGAAATTACTGCTTATACTTTCTTATAGGATTTTTATGGTTTCAGTTATCATATTTAGGTCTTCAATCTATTTTGAGTTTATTTTTTTGTATACGGTGTGAGAAAGTGGTCCAGTTTCATTCATTTGCCTGTAGCTGTCCAGTTTTCCCAATACTGTTTGTTGAAGAGACTGTCTTTCCCAACACATATTCTCATTGCATCATCTTTTGTTGAAGATTAATTGACCGTGTAATTGTGAGTTTTTTTCTGGGCTTTCCATCCTGTTCCATTGATCTATGTGTCTGTTTCTGTGCTATTATCTTACTATGTTGATTAATACAGGTTTGTAGTATAACTTGAAATCTGAAATTGTGATACCTCTAGCTTCGTTTTTCTTTTTCAAGATTGTTTTGGCTATTTGAGGTATTCTGTGATTCCATACAAATTTTGGAATTATTTGTTTCAGTTATATGAAAAATGCTGTTGGTATTTTGATAGGGATTGCATTAAATATGTAGATTTCTGTGGGCAGTATGGACATGTTAGCAATATTCGTTTTTTTAATCCCAGATGGATTTTGAAATTGTTTGGGACCAATGACTCCGTTCTTCCTTCTGTTTTCTCTGTCTTAGAATGCAGTTTTCTGTAACTGTATGTCTGCCCAACCATTGTGTTTGGGGACCAGATAATTTATTGTCTATTTACAAAGTTCCACAGATTGGGAGAAATTTTGCCCAGGGATTTTTCATAACTCAAGTCTTAACCATATTTGATTTAGATGATGAGACATGGGACTTTTGAGCTGACCATTGTTAGACATTTTAGATGATTTTCATCTTGAGTTGATATTATAATGAGTTGATACAAATATTCTTATAAGAAGGGGTCAAAGGGAGATTTGACTACAATAGAGAAGATGATGTGAAAAGTGAAGCGGAGATGGGAGTGATGTGACCTGGAGCCACAGAATGGGAACAGCTTTTAAAAGTGGAAGAGACAAGGAACATATTTCCCTCTGGATTCTTCAGAAGAAACCAAACTGCTGATACCTTGCTTTTCATTCCTTAAGACTCATTTTGGACTTTTGATATGTGGAAGTATAAGAATAAATTTCTGTGGTTTTAAGCCACTAAGTTTGTCATAATTCGTTTTACAATGAAAAGAGGAAACTAATACACTGATGTATATAAGCATTCAGTAAGTATGTGGTGAGTGAATGAACAATTAAAAAATTTGCCTTTATTAAGGCTATGTAACTTCTATACAGTTACAGGATATAAGATGGAATGCCAGTTTGCTTAGGAAAAAACCATTAGTAAAAATCTATTTTGGCAAAGAAAATTCTTTCCATTAATGCCTAAAACTGAGGTAAATATAGACCTAATTATTGAGTTAGAAGCTGTAATATTGTGATTTATAATAAGAAATATATATTTGGTCTTTGTCTTCATTTTTGGCACAGAGCTCCTAAAACCCTTGAAATTTTCTAAGTAATGAGAACAATAAAGGTGTCTTTTGTTATGTTTATATTAACAAAGTGACTTTTGAACTCCACCTAAGGATGGTTGCTGGTTGCCAGGAGAATAAACCATGTGAAACCAAATGAAATTTCCAAACCCCTGAACTGGAGTGAATAGAAGAGAGGAGCTGAATGTTCAATCCATCACCAGTGGCCAATGATTTAGTCAACCATTCCTATCTTTTGCAACCTCCATAAAAATCTGAAAGGTCAGGCTTTGGAGAGTTTCTGGATGGTGAACATGTAGAGATATAAAGAAAATGGTACACCTGGAGAAGACATGGAAAGCATCATGCTCTTTCCCCATACCTTGACCTATATATCTCTCTTCCATCTGGCTGTTTCTGCATTATATCCTTTTAAATAAACTGGTGATCTGGTAAATAAAATGTTGCTCTGAGAGTTCTGTGAGCCAGTCCAGCAAGTTAACTGAACCCAAGAAGGGGATTGATTGTTGGAGCCTCCAACCTATAGCCAATTGGTCAGAAGCACAGGTGGGCAATCTGGTCTTGTAGCTGGTACTTGAAGAGTGTGTGTGAGGGGTAATCTATGATTGAGCCCTTAACCTGTGGGATCTGATGCTATCTCCATATAGATAGTATGAGAATTGAATTGATTGTAAAAGACCCAGCTGGAATCAGAGAATTGCTTGGTGATGTGGGGCAAACTCCCACTCTCAGGTATTGGAATTATAAGATCAGAATCATTTTAGTAACTGAACTAAAATTTCTGGCATCTTCAGTACTACTGTTATCCATTGATGTGGGTAATTAGTTACTTGTTACCACATTTTCCCTCAATTAATTATAATGATTAGTTTTAACCTTATCAATCAACTTTGGCATTTTAGAATTTAATTTTGAATTTTAAAATGAATGTAGGCTTCTGACAGATGGAATAAATAAGTGTAATTTAACCAAAGATATTAGGAGACTGTTATCCTCACTGCTGAATGGGGGTGGCTATCAGTAAAATTTAGCAGTGCTTTGGTACTTGTTGCAAAAAAAATAACATTAAAGAATGTTATTCTTAGCTTAAACTTAAAGAGTTTTTCTTAGCTATACCTCCAGTGGGGTACCACACTGTCTTGCTTCCACACTCATTATACTTCTGAAATTATTGGGTTAATTTATCTATTAATCATCTAGCTTCTCTAGAATGATTTGCATCTTTGTTTAAATCTTATTTTTGTTTCTTTGCATATAACCTCAAAATCTTCACTAATATGCTGACATAAATAACTTAAAGCAGCTGGGAAGAAGTTTCACTCACTAAAGGATACTGAATCCTTCTGTAATGCCTTTTATTTTATAAACCTGTTTGAAAGGTCATCATTTTACTTGGCTAAGGTGCTTTTCTAAAGTTGCTTCCATGGCTATAGTAACCTGTTGTGGATGAAGATATGAACAATAATTAAATCTTGAAAGCCTTTTAAGAAAGTTATCTACCCTTAGACTTCTCTTCTCAGGGCAGAAATTGTGAAATCATGGTGCTATTAAATCACAATTCTTTTACTAACTTAGGGATAGAGAGTCCTGGGCTTTTACAAAACATAAAAATCAAGAGTCATGATTTCTCAAGGAGTGGAGATTTAAAGTAAATGTTTTACAGATGTAATACTGTCTTAACCTTTATTGAAGGAGTACAAAATTCCTGGCACAACTTAATTTAGAATATTGGTCATAGCTTATTAAAACTTCTGTTTTTGTGAGAACAATGTTATTTTCACGTGATATCTGAATCTCAGACTTCCCCAAAATAATTTTTATACAGAAGTCTCTGATAACAGCCTGCAAATACAAACACACACATACAAACACATACACACAGTGTATTATTAAATGACTTTCAGACTTTTCCCTCATTGCCTATGACTTTTCCCTCATTGCATGTGAAGACAAGGTAGAGAAAATGCTGAGATAAGGCAAGGATAGGAAAATATATTTTTATGGTGGTAGCAGTACTGATCAGTTGGTTTACTGTTTTTCTCCCATATAATTATTCATACTCACAAAGTGATACAACTTTCTTATAGAGCTGTAGAAACAAACATACATTGGATATGGTAAGTTGTCATTGTGGATAATTTCAGAAAGCTTTAATATTAGTTTCAAGGAGCTGAAATGTTTTAGAGGAAGAGATTGATCCTAGTGGACAAAGATAACTGAGAATTTGTGAATTTTAACATTTTTTCTTCTTTTTTAAAGATTTTATTTATTTAATCATGAGAAACAGAGAGAGGCAGAGACATAGGCAGAGGGAGAAGCCGGCTCCTAACAAGGAGCTTGATGTGGGACTCAATCCCAGGACCCCAGGATCACACCCTTAGCCAAAGACAGACACTCAACTGCTGAGCCACCCAGGCATCCCTGAACATTGTTTCTCTGTATTTCCCATAATTAGTATGGACGAGGCTTTTGGTACCTCATGTTGGGTAGAATTTATTTCTTAATTTGTTGGTGCCATGAAAATCCTCAAGAAGACATGATAAATGTTCCATCTTAGTAAAGTAATGAGATATTTATTTTTAAATGTTTGATAATAATTTTCACGTTTTTCTATGCATACAATTCTGTGAATTCATGCCTTCTCTAAGCTATTGTTACTTACCTTTATTCTTATCTTCTGAGATTATTTTTACAAATGACTCTGCTAGCTTCCATGGGAACAAAACCTTTTTCACTTGGTTTGAACTCTTGTCATTTGAGGCTGTCAGCACAACTTGCATTTGGTGGAGAATTAACTCATTCTGTTTCATAGGTGCAGACTGAAACTAGCCCCAGTTAGCATTATACAAATGATCAAATGGAAAATGAACAAAGATTTACAGAAATCACTGTCAGTATTTAGCAATAAGAATAGCTACTATTTTTTGAGCACCTATTTTAAGCCAGGCATTGTCATAGGTACATTATGTATACCACACAATTATTTATAAGTAGACATTACTCATATTTTATACATAAAACTCAGAGAAGTTGATTTACTTTCTCAAAGGCATAGTAGGCAAGTCTCCAAATCCTTTGTTTTTTCCTTTTAAACCAAACTGCAAATATCAACACTGATAGAGCATTATTGTTGAATCAGTAGCACATATTCATATGGGAAATTATACCTGTTACAGATACATGTTTAAATAATTGTCTGTTGAATAAATAAATGACATCAATATTGAAATAATACAAATGTAGTTTTGATATTTGGCCTTTTACCCTTTAGAACCTATAATGAAATGAAAGGGGGCAAATAGTAGTGAACAATGAATTCAACAGTGTTTTGTTATATTTTATATGTGTATAGTACCTAAGTTAATCAAAAGAGGGTATGGTGCTTGTTCTTAATACAAGGCATAAGGACATGAAAGAAATGTATTATGATACAAGCCATAGTTTTATGTCAAAGTTAGTGATAAGTGCACAGAAGAGTAGATAAGGTAAAAATATGGTGGACATAAACCAACAGGAATGGACTTATGAAATCCTAAGTGGGAATTGAAAGGTGGGAGAATTTGGCAGCAAAAGGATTAGGAACACCATTCCAAGCTGCCAGGGTGTCAAAAAAATTACTGAAATAATGTTTGAGCATGACTATGATATATTTTATGATTTTTGTGAAATATTCCCCTACTTTTTGTGGTAGGATTATATTTTTCTGCCCTGCTGATGTCAGGCTTGCCTGTCAGATTTATTTTGGCTAATGGAATATGACATATGTGACATATGTTTCACCTGAGTAAAAAATTTAAATGTAACCAGTTCAGTTTGATCTTTGGCTCTTCCCTGAAAAAAATAGGTAAATTTCATTATTTGACCCCTGGCCCAGAAAAAAGCCTCAGTCAAGCTACAGCTTATATGTAACAAGCAAGAAATAAACACTTGTTGCTTTAAGCTACTAAGAATTTGAGATCATTCCTTATGTGATATAGCCTAGTCAAAGCTGATAAATGCAGTGACATTTGAGGGTGGCTTATGAGGAATCCTGACTAGAGAAGGTTTATATTGGATTCTAAAGTTAAATAAAACAATGGAAACAAGTTAAAGATTTGGACTTTATATAGTACCTAGAATTGGTTGTCAATCTTGGTGTCAATTCTTACGATTTAGAAAAAAAAAAGTGTGGATTCCATCTGCTAGCATTGTCAATAAGAATCGTTTTTCCTCTGGTAGTGATCAAATGTGAGAGCTTCTCAGATATTTTTTGTTATGGTGAGAATTAATGGTTTAATGAATAGATTCTGATTTTGCTTTTACTTTCCTATTCAACATCTCTCTCAACCACTTCTCATCTGGGCTGTCATTGGATTGCATGGAATCCAGTATTCTCCCATGAAGATAAAAGTGAATTGGACTAGCATGTCATTGACCTGGAATTTTCATGGCTCTTACCTGCTTCCCCATTAAATGAGTACTAGGAGTTGGTGGACAAATTGAATCTTTAGGTATTTATCTTTCTGATTTAGAAGTTATTTCTCTGAAAAGTTATTCAAAGTCTTTAGCATACTGAATGAATGTCAAAATCTATAGAGTCTAGATAATTAACTTTATATACTCTAATATTAATGGAGCAACAGTGTAATTTTTTTTTGCTCAAATAGGAACACTTTTGAGAACAAAATGGAACACTATTGATAATTGTGCTTTGACAACAGACATGAACTGAGACTATTTGGGCAAACTGAAATAAGTGGTCATCTATTGTATGAATGAACTGAATTGTCATGTTTACACTGGTCTCTCCACACTTCTGGGAGGGGCGGGGGACGGGAAGGAGTGACACCACTGACACTGCTTCTTTTCTGTCAATCATTTATCATGCACGGATACTGTCTCTCTGTCTTTGCCACTTCCAATCATTCAAGCAACTCTTAAAAGTGGGAGAAGGGTGAGCTACTGTTGTAGTGAAAACATTAAAAATTTAAATTATCTTTGGTATGAAAAGGAGAATGAAGATGAATATTCATTGATCTTATTTTCAAAAAAACATTGGAAATTAGTTTTCTTATTTTAAAGAATTTAAGAGTTTTTTTGCTGATATTTTCTTCCCACTTTCTCTAATGTGAAATGTAACCAAAGCAGTGTTATTTGCAGTGCCAAGAAAACTGTCATTGTAAAATGTTGTAACTGACTTCAATTTGACATACATTTCAAAATGGGATTTTTGCAGTGAGGTTAAACTTATTTAAGAAACTCTATTTGAAAAAAAAAAGAAAGAAAGAAACTCTATTTGATATGAGCTCTGCAAGACCAGTAACTATGTTATGTCTTATCTTGTTGTCCTCAAATCCTAGCACACAATTCTTAGCACAAAGTAAAAGTTCAAAAGTATTTGTTAAATCAGTGAAGAAATTAAAGAACAAAATCTAATTCTATGTAAAATATAACAATATAGATTAAGAATCAAGACTATTTTAAAGTATAATTAGAGAAGTAATTGAAAACTTTCTGGAGATAAAGAAATATGATCTAGAGTTTGAAAATGTAGAACATTGTCAATATGCATGGAAAGTCATAAGAGGTATAGAAATAAAGTGAGTAAATACTAAGAACTCTAAAGGAAAACATATATTTAGACCTCTCTGAAGAGGAAGTTAGAGTGGGTTGTTTGTTTTTAGGAAATGTCAATGATCCAGTGTTCCATAAATAGAACTATCCATGTCATAAAAAGGGAAGTATTTATATAT